CTGTGGTGAAAGTTTCCTCACAGTTTCAGCCAGTAAAGCTTTCAGTTCAGCGACAGTCAAGCGTTGGCGAGCTGACGTTTTTCCTCCGTGCCATCCTATAGCTGCTCTGTGGGATTTGGGTCAGGGCTCTGGGAGAGACTTTCTAAAATGCTGATTTTTCTCCTGGGACAAGTGTTCTTGTGTCTGGTGCGCTGTAGATCGATATGCTGTTCAAGATTCACATCTGTCACTTGAATATTGTTTGGCTGATCTCTTTAAATTTGCTTCATGATTGTGTCAGTAAATCTAAGATAAGAAAAAAATAAGAAAAACAGCCTCGGGCTTTTAAGGCTCCCACCTTCATACTTCATCATCATGCAGACTGATCTCCACTAAAAACATTCTACCTTCAGATCCATGTGGGCTGAATCTGGACTCGTGAAAATACCACATCTCCAAAAGCTGTTTTATGAATTACCCTGATGAACTTCAACAAAGTTTTCTGAAAGCTTACCTATCCAAATACTTTTTTTGGGGTCACTGCATAGCTACATAAAAAACCTTTTTATGCTGCTCATGCACTTACAAGCAATTTTCCACTAATGGTTGAAAAAAACTTTGATTTAGAAATCATTTAGAAGCAGTTAGCACTTGTTTTCCATTCATCCCTTCCCAAGATCCTCTCCCTCCAGTTTATGGTCAACCTTCGAACACATGAAAAGGTTTCTCCCTCAACCAGCACATGCTCACCCAGGAAAACGCTCTGTGAATATATGCTGCTTGGTTAGAAAATATGTAAATATAAAAAAAACAAAACAGCTCATCTCTTCCCTCCTTTCCATCCTTCTCAGATTTTAGGGAAATCTCTGCCGTATTGTGACACTAGTCGTCGTTCTCACACGAGGTGGAAGGTTCACAGTCACGACACACAAAGACAGAATCCACTGTGAGGCGATTCACAGCAGTGATCCTCCCTTAAATCATCATTTGGGTTTTGTCGCCTTACCCTCTTGCATGCCCGAATCAGTGTCATAGAAAAGTCATGATTGCAGCTTCAGTAGGTCAGAGTTAGAACCATTCTTCACCCCCTTTTTTTTTGCCATGGCACAACATGGCACAGTCTGAGATGAAAGAAAAAGCTGCTGCAGCACCAGAGAACAAGTCACTGTTTGTTCGCACAGATTAAACTGTAATAAAATTGTCATCTTCTGTAGGACGGGAAATCAATGGAAAGAATAGACAATTTGACATTGTCAGACACATGCTTTTCAGGTCAGGTCAGGTCAGGTCAGGCCAAGAGAATTAATCTTTCATCGCAGTGCAAATGGGGACAAAAGAAGTTTATAAAAAAACTTGTAAAACCACAGGAAGACAGACTGGCTGTGTTTCTTCTTACATTTTCCACTTTCATTCAATGCCAGCAGCATTAATGAATAAATGAATATCCGAAAACGTACAAAAACAATTTCCAGCATTTGTGCTTGTTCTCTGTTCCGTACTAGAAACTAGGCAGCAGAATTCTTGTTCTCATAAATGTTTTAAACTAAGGAGAAAATTTAACAAGAGATTCACCCGGAAAGTGTTTAGCGAGCATCCCACACTGTCCCACATCGAAAACAACAAAAAGACGTCACTTTAACAGCTTGATGAAGTCAGCAATGTTATGTTCTCCATGTCTGAAAAGTGATTTGGGGGAGAAAAAAATGTCCTCATTCTGTCCTGTTTCTCTCTCTGGACGCTGTGGCCTCACAGGAGAGACGCCCCAGCGGCTGCTCAGGGACACCGTGAAGGATGCGTCGGAGAAGGCCAGAGAGGCAGCAAAGACTCTGGCTTCAGCTGCTGCTGTTCCACAGAAACCTCAGCAGTACGTCTGACAGGACGGCACGTGAAGTACTGTACAGGTGACAGGAAGTCTGCACAACGCCTTTTGATCGTCTCGATCGTCTCGCTGGGATCTCCCTGTTTACGTGTTCTCTCCAAACTTTGATCTGTATTTTTCTATAGTACGAGCCAGCCTCCGTTGAATTACCTCCACTGTTAGACTCACTTCTTCTGTCTTCGTTCCCACTTTGCTTCCTGTATCCTTCGTTTCTCTCTCAGCTTTCATTAAATCTCAGGTCTTGAGCCTTTGTATGAACTCTACTGCCTTTCAGACCAGCTGTGTCTGGGCCACTTATTTAATATTCTAAATATACTGTAGAATGATTATATTTTGCTGATTTGTATGCTTTTCTTTTTTTGTGTGCATTTTCTGCATAATGATAAATTATTCTAAGTTTATTACATTAATCAGCACTTCAAATGCATTATCCTGCTAAAGCTATTTGTCCAGCCAAAAGCTCACGTTAGACCAAATCATTGTATTGTGATTGTGTAGTTTTAATTTCACCTAAGCACGCATGTAGAACGCTATAACTTAATGGTTTAATGTGCTCGAAGGTCATTTTTAAAGCAAAAACGTCTCTTATGGTTCTCTGAGACCGTAATAAGCTTCCAACTTTGAAACACATCTGTACACAGCATGTGTCACGAGTGTCGGCGCACAATGTTTCCTGTAATATTGCGTACATAATTAGAAAGCATACGCTACTGCCGCAAAGCCTGTACTGACTCATTTATAATCACAACATACCAAAGTGACTTATATCAAAAGAAGTCAGAAAGAGCAAAGTTGTCACTTCTCTGTGCTCAGATTTAATGTGAATAGCCTTTATTACTCTCACTTCTAGGTCAAAATATATCATTTCAATCTACCTGTTGATATGAAGCTTATTTAGTGTTAAAGGTGATATTGTGAACATTTTAATGATTGCATTCCCTTTAAGATGAATTTAGTGGATTTGCGTGTTTTTTTTGTTTGTTTGTTTGTTTGTACTGCAAGACTTGAATTATAGTAGACAAATAATTAATGAGGTGTATTTTTCTGAATTGTTTAGGCCATTGTGATGCTGGGCTTATGCAGATTTATTTAAACCACGTAGTAAGATGTTAAAAATAAAAAATTGTCTGGACTTTGGCTTGACGAGCTGAAAATGTTTTACAGCACAAACATTTTCAAGTTCTTTATTTTGACGTCCAGTGTTTGTCATTATGTTTAATCTTTGTCAGCTTTAATAAAACTTAAGTTATTTTAGCCTCTTCGTTGTTCATGTCTCTCTGCAGATCCGTTGTGGGCTACACTTTGACATGACAGGCAGCAGCACAACTGATGGACAGACGAGGTCACAACAGCATCCACACAGACATCACAATACATCATGAAATCACACTGAGAAGATAAGAAACCAACATGTCAGCAGAGATCAGAAACGTAACAAGCAAAAAATAGTCATCTGCCTCCAAGTCATTTAGGAACACTTTATAAGTGTTTAAAGAGACCAGCTCTTGAAGTTTCAGGTCTTTTTGCAATGTGTTCCTGGTAGAGGGAGCAGCGAATTTAAAAGCTTTCTTTCCCCGTTCTGTTCTAACCTTGGGAACAGACAGTAACAGTAGATCCTGGGACCGCAGACTGTAACTACTTGTAGCTTTTGTAGAAATAAAAACCTGTAAGTAATGAGGAAGCAAGCCTAAAATACATTTATAAATTTAAAGTGTTGTTTCCTTCGTGTGGTCAAATCTGACCATCCACCACGAGAGTTCAACAAACAATGATAGAATAGAATAATACTCTATTGATCCCCCATTGGGGGAAATTTACACGCCACAGCAGCATCCAAAAATATAGAAAATAACAGTAATGAAGTAATTTGCATCCCCAGTGTCCGCACACAGCAGGATCGAGGCCCCACCGTCTCCCGTTGGCCAGTCCGCATGCTGGCTGAATGTGGGGAGAGTAGTAGAGAGCGATGTATGATTAAAGTCTCCTGAGATGACGATCAGAGACTGAGGGTGTGATGTTTGCAGCTGGAACACTGAACTATGGATGAGCTCACAGAGCGCAGCAGCATCAGCCGAGGAGGGGGGATGTAATCGCCAGGATGTGCGAAAACTCCCTCTGCAGGTAAAACGGCCGCAAACCAACCGCCAGCAGTTCAACATCCTTCGTGCTTTAACGCTAATGTGCCAGCATGACACCATCTGTCATTCACATACATGGTGATGATGACTGATGAGTAAAAGACTTAAAATTGGTGAAACCTCAAAGTACCGTGACATACTAAATCTAAAACGCTCAGGATTTAAGCGGAGGCATTCATCGTGTCTCCATCGTCCAACACAGACATAACAGTGGCAGCAACCAGTCTCTTTTTGGCCTCAAAAGACAGACAAGATTTGATTCTAAAATAAAAACCCAGTTTCAATTTTAGTCTCTCTAGATTGTGATGCAAGTTTAGCAACAAGGTTGTGGGTTTGATCCCCACTCGGGCCAGTGATTGTTCTTGTCCATCTACTTACTCTTCAACATCAATTAGAGGGATTTTTACCATCATCTGACCGAATGATGGAACGTCTGTGTGTGTGTCAACAACTGTTCAGCCCATCCATCAAATTTGAAGTTGTTTTTAAGAGCAGTGTCCATTTTTAGGGTCTTTTTGGGGCCTCGTGGGGCCTTCGGGTGCTTACATACAAAAACTGGAGGAACTCGTATATTTAATCAATTGAAAGTTTTTTATTTTGATGTTCACAATGCAGCTGTGTTCACTGAAATTCAGTTTTTGTTGTGTAAAAAGTAGCATTTGGTCTCATTCGTACGGAATATGAGATTGAGATTTGTTGTGTTCGTAAGTGCTTGAAAAGCAAAAGGGGAGGCCCCAAAAAGCTCGAAACAACCCCGTCTCTCTCTGCTACAACAGCAACAAAAGCTTTAAACATTATTCCAGACTACAGATTACAGTTTAACAGCTGCACAAAACCAAACAGGAAGCCCCATAACATTTGAACGTCTTTATCTGTTTTCCTGCTGCTTGCTTGACTTGAAGCTGTTTTCTTTACTGCTTCCCCACAAGACACACAATGCGTCTTTAAAAAAAAATGCACACAAAAAAAGATATTGCAGCAGGCAGTAATGAGGCTTTGACGGCTTTATGTATAAAACATTTTAATTATATTACAATGAGAGAATACACAATACCTTCAAGTGTTTGCTAAAATGTAGCCAGCACCAGGTACTCATGTACACACGCTCACACACAAAAAAAAAACAAAACAACAACAACAAAAAAAAAAAGGAACTTATATAACATCTTCTGAATGCATATTACACATCCGCTATAAAGGAACATATTCACAGGTCTCTGGCACAGAACTCTCCCTACTCTGCACAGTATGTCAGCCCAGACAAACTCCTCGTCATCCTCCTCGCAACTAAATCCAAGCCAGTTCACCCTCTACAGCTTCTAGGTTCTTGTGGGTAGGAGGGAAAAAAAAGCAAAAAAAAAAACGAACCATAACGCTGGTGTGACGCCCGTTTGTGGAACCAAACAGAACCCCGTAAGAGCGTCACGCAATTGATGAAAATGCAAAAATAAAGAGCAAAGACATGAAGGCTGAAGTGCGGAAAGGAAGTGGGAAGCTGACCTAAAGCCTACAGGTAGTTAAAGCTATTCGTCTTGAATTACATACAGGAACTTTTCTTTTTTTTAGTCATGGAAGGATTAAAAGTGACTATTTATTTGGCAGGAATAATATCTGGTGGAAGTCATTGTGTTGATTTTATCAGCACCATTAATCAGCAGGCTTAGGGATAAAGAGACGTCTTCGGTGTTTGTGATGTGCGCACAGATTTAGTGCCTTGACCCGACTCTCTCTGCGCAGACTGTCCTTTGTCTGCACCTTTTTTTTTTTTTCATCGCACCCACCCACTCTCTTTATATCTTTCTCTATTCTCTGCCTGCTGACTTCCCCAAACCTCTGTGCTCTTCGGAAAAAAAAAAACAACACACTGAATCAAATCTCTGTGCAACGGCAACATGAAAGCAAACATAAAATCTTGTCTGCACTTGCTCTGAAGTTTCAGTTTTTAAGCGCTCCTCTCTCCTACGACTCTTAAATTACACTTTGATGTTAGCAGAAGTTCACTGAAGAGCCCCCTTCTTCGAAATGTTTGCCTCTTTTGTTCTGAAAAGGGAAGTGGAAACATCTTTTGCCTCTTCAAGGCTCAACTGATTTAACAGTCGTCATTAATTGGTACAATCTCTTGTTTTGTTTTTTTTTAAAGAAAATAACTTTTTCCAAGGCACATCATTAAAAGAATTTCCATAAACACCACCCTTCCGACATTCAAACGAAATGTTAACACGTCCCGTCAGCTGCTCGTAAACGTTTGCGAGCGCACGTGTGCTATGTACATTTTTCAATGACGCCACTGAAAAATTATAATCTCATATCTGGCCCCGAGCTCGTCCCATTCACTCCGTCTCTGTGTCACTTTTCTTACTGGGAGGTTCTGTGCAAGAGAATAATCTTATTCCATTAATATGGTTTACTCAGTTGTTCATTTGACCAACGAACTGAAAAGGACATTTTTGCTACAAACAGTCATGTACAAATCCTTTTGACATGAATGTAAACTCTTGATAACAAAAAAAAAACAGCTTTCCAAAAAAAAAAAAAAAGAAAAAGAATTTTTTTTCTCATGTCTAGTTAATTTCTTTTTGCCCTCCTGCAGTGTATGGAGAGAGTGCAGATAGGAGGTCAAATCATCGAAACAAAAATAAAGAGTTGGTCACAAAAATGCACCACAGACTCAAAAGCAAAACCACCTGCTTGCCTTTTTTTTTTTTTCTTTTTTTTCTTTTGTAAAAACCCTGCCCACCCACCCACCCTCCCTCAGAAAGCACAAGATGGTAATATTGCTGTGTCTCAAGAGGTCCCCTGATCAACGGGTAACACTATTTTTGGGACGGACCACCGGGAGCTCGGAGGATAACACCTTAAGCTGCCATTGATTGGATTATTCTTTTATCGCTCCTCTCCCAGTGATTCCCACTGAACAAACACATAGTCAACATACAAGAATAATAAAATGACAAAAAAAAAGATAAACACGCTTCAAGCCCAGAAGAAGTTTTCGAACCCCGTCGGTGACCATTCGGGGGGCGACTGGAAGCTGCCATGGGAGTTTACCAGTGTGTGTTTTCTTTTTTCTTTTTCCATGACAGAGGTGGCGCTGGCAGATGGGTGGGCATCGAGAGAGGCTGGGAGGGGAGGGGAGGGAGTGCCTGGACAGGGTGTCGTACAACAGCGGCTTCAGGGAGGGGGCTTGTTTTGTTGTTGTTGTTGTTTGTGTGTATTTGGAGGTCTTCTCTTCACACGCCCCCTCGCTCATGGAAGTGTTTCGCATGGTAAGGGTTGAAATCAAAGAAGAAGAAGAAGAGGGAGGGGAGGATGCGATTCAAGAGGAGTGGGGAGGGGGAGTGTGACCTGAGTAGGGGCTGAGGGTGAGGAGGTGGGAGGAGAGAGGTCAAAGGCTCACCAAGGCACAGAATGACAGCAGGAGAGTCACCCAAGGGAGAGGGGCCAGTGTATCAGCTCCCCTGCCCCCACTCTCCCTTCAACAAGCCTGGCCTCCTGTCTGTCTGTCTGTCTCTCTTTTATATTTATATATTTATATATAGATATACTCACTCTTTTTTGTCTTTTCATTACAAGAGAACATTTAGGAAAATATAATACAAAATTTAATACGAGAAATATAGACTACACTGGCTAATATCACTTTCAGTGACGAGTAGCTTCTTTCGTATGCAATTTTTTGTTGTTTTCTTCTAACTCTTTTGTAGTTTTTTTTTATTTTTTTTTTTTTTGGTCAGACCTGCCATGGTGGACGGGCCCCTTTTTTTTTTTTTTTTTTTAAAGTGCCAAGCTCTAAAGACTGCCAGAGACCGGGGCTAATGATTATTTAAATGGTCAGAGAGCGACAGAAGCGCCTCCTCCGTCAATAGTGACTATTGTGCATAAGTTACAGACAGGTTAGAGAAGAACATTTCACCTACGTTGGCCTTTAGCAGTGCTCAAAGCTCCAGAAATAAGTCAGAGAAAATAAGAGCAAGAATCCTGTTACAGAAAAGTGAATGGAAGTAGTTGGCTAAGATGGCTAAAATAGGCGCCTCTACGAAAGAAGAAAATCAGAAAATCATTACAGCTGGCCCATTTGTCCACAATTACAGCTTTGACTTGTTAATTAGAATAATAATAGTAAAAAAAAAAAAAAAATTCCAGTCACACATGAATACCGCTCGCAACAGAAAAAAAGCAACAGAGCTGTAGGGAAATGCAAATTGTGTGTAGATGGCATTGTGCACACAGAGAAGGATCCTTTAGTGAATAAGAAAACTAAAAAAAAAAAAACTTGCCATCTACAGGGTAAAATGGGGAAAAGAAAAAGTCTCCCATAACACCTCACGGTCCGCCAGAATCAATGTGACGCTCATAGCTCGCATCTGCCTCTTGTCTTTATTGCTACATCAATTAGCTACTGAGAAGGAAACACAAGATGTGACTCGATATTTCAAGGAATAGAGTTTTAGTTGTGAGGCAACTCCTTTTCTTTGTTGTTTGACATAGTAGTCCATCCACACCATAGGGTGGTATAGTGTAGTGGTCAGTAGTGTGGAGTAGTGGTTAGGCAGCCCAACCAGAGGGAGACACGAGGGTCTGGACAGTAACTGTACATCTATTTACATGTTTTCTTCTCTGCTACAGCTCTGAAGCTTTTTCCTGTTGTCTTTGGCTGCACTCGGTGATAAAGATGTGACGACGTGCAGAGCTGCTATTGAAAAAGTCCCGTTTTAAATCGCGTGCTGACAGAAGCTTTGCTAAAAAGTTGGAGATTAAAGCCGGGGTTCAACATGTTTGGATCACTTTTTTTTTTTTGCTGACAGTTTGATGAGAAGATCACTCTAATGTGTGAAATATACAGCCAGCAGCTTGTTAGCTTAGCATAAAGCTCACCAATCAGTATATCTTGTTTAATTATGTACAAAAACTGTCTGAAAACACTAAAATGGAGTACGAAAGGTTAAAAGCTACACGATTTCTCCACCACGCAAACTGCGTCGACACAACTGCCATAAAATTACAACTTTACACTGTTTTTACACAGTTTTGTACAGATTAAACACATAACTTATACATTTGTGAGCTTTGGAGGTGCTGGTAGCAGATCCACCAATGCTTTTCTCATCTAGCTCCCAGCAAGAAAGAGAACAAGTGTGTTCGACACCAACGTTTCTCAGATGTTTCAAGGAACCCGCAGGACATTTGCAATAGCGTCTCCTGTAAATCTTATTGTGTAAAAGGAAGATACCGTATGATGAAAACAACTTTCGAGGTCCCAATGTTGCATATATTGCCGAACAAACAGAAGTGCTTTACCTTTCTCACATCGCACCCTTAGTGCAACGCTTTGTCTGTGTATTATTGCCACATTAAAATGACTGAAGCTTATATTTTGTTTTTGACCTCTCTGAAACTCCCTCCCTTGACTTTTCTCTACACACACGTATATATATACACACACACCAATTAACAAGTCAAAGCTGTCCACCGTGCCACAGAAATCCCAGATAAAAAACCACAAACTCGGCTCTCGTAGCCTGCGGCAGCGCTAGGTGGGGGTCGTGAGGGCAGTGAGAGGGCAGGGCGTGTCAGGAGGGGCGGGTTCAGGCAGGATACAGTAGGGTGAGGTAGGGTCAGTGGTCAGGGGTCGGGGGCAGGGGGGGAGTTAAGGAAGGCATTTCGGCCTCGTGTGCTTCCTGGAGAGTCGTGGCCAGGAAGGAAGGAACAAGTTCGGGGTATGCCGCCGTTGTGGACTGGTCTGATGTAGGTAGTGTGCGGCGTTGGCAAATCGTGGGAAAGGTACGGGTGAGGAGAAGGTAGCGTGGGCGAGGAAGCTGGTTGCGAGATGGATGGCCGCGGCGGTGTCTAACAGTGGTGCGGCTGCAGTCTGTGGGAATGTGTGGCTGTGTAGCTGGTGTCACTGGAGCTGCTCTGGAGGCTATAGTGGTCCTCCTCCTCGCCGTCGCTGACACTGTCCACGCTGTCCGCCTCGCCGGGGGTGAACTCCATGCCCTCGATGTCCACCTCTGCACGCAAAGAGAAAAGAAAACACGCGAGGTTATTTTCAGTGTGTTGAAAACAGAGCAAGAGAGAGGAAATTGTTTACTTCCACCCAACTGTGGGCATATTTATTAGGGAGCCTGCCATGGCTGTGGATTAACCCTGGATTTAGGCAGCTATTAGCTCCGGGCAAACAGGCAGATCTTTGTGCTGCCACAGGTAATCCCCATCCATTGATAAACAACTGCATGTGTGTTTACCTCATCCAGGATTAGCAAACAACTTCAACAGTTTAAACCGAGCTTTTCGGGGAAGTCTGTGCCACTGGTGATGAGCAGATTCTCTCCTTAAGCTGAGGTAACGCACAAAAAGAACTGGTTCCAACAGCGTGTGGTCCAACCACAACCGAAATGCAACAAGTCTTGATATCTGTGTTGAAGAGCAACACTCGAGAGTCTGTCCTGGAAGGCGTTCACGACATTGCGCTTGGTTGTAGACATAAAACCTAACAAGAAATTGACAGTAAGAAGTTCACACCCTGCCGACTGTCTTACCTCTGGACCCCTGTTCGACCATCCAAGCAATATTGACGCCATAAGTCTCGTGATATTTGCTGGAGTTTCGGGATAATACCCTTCAGATAAAACTTAATTCAGATGACAACAGATGACTATATTTATGTCATTTCTGCAGTTGGCCCGTGACAAAGTTGTTGATCTGCTACAACCTGCGCCAGTAAACAGGATCACCTGACATGAAATCTCCCACCTATAGTAGCTAAAGTGGAGAGCCAGACTTCTTTATCTGTAATCTGAGGTGTTAACTTTTGACCCCGGGGGCATCACCTGTAAACAACGCCGGGGCAAATCATCGGATCACAGAGCTGCTCAAGAGTGTATCGGTGGACGTTGAAAAGAACGCAAACAGCGCCAGCATTTGAGTAAAGCCACCTATGGAGCTGTTGGGAGAAGTTATTTGCAAGTTCTGGCTTCAGGGCATGAAGTGAGCCTGTCAATACCAGCCAGAGCCATACCTTAGCATTAGTAATTTGCATCAAACACGGAGGCAATCTATACTGATTTACATTAAGGTCAGCAGTGCCCACAGCTGTCCACGTGGTATAGAAGAACTACACATTACAAATTCATAACAAGCCCTACCTCATGCAGCAACCTCTTGAATTCATTTATATTCAACTTTTTAGTCTTGGATAACATGACTCACATCTAAATGCACACTGGGAATGTTTATATGGAAGAACTTTACATTTAATATAAGAGAAATGAAATTCCCAGTGTCAAAACTGAACACGGTGTGCGTTTACTGCACCACACAAATACAGGTGGCTTGACACGATCCCTGTTTTAATGCCACTGGTTGACTCTTTGAAGCCGGCGTACCTTGCTCTGAGTCAGTGGAGATGGTGGAGCCCATGCTGTCAGTGCGGATGCGCTCCACGGATCCCGACACAGAGAGCTGCTCCAGGCGGCGTTTGAGGTAGCGGTGCTCTCTCTGAAGCTGCTCCTTCATGTTTAAAGCCTTCCTGTCCTGCTCTTCCAGCTTCTACAAACACACACACAGAAATGCCAAGAATTAATGATAATGTTACCGGACCCAAACACCGGTTTGCATTCTCCTAACGGCACAAAAAAGGTGCAGTTCCTCCAAAAGGGTCACTATCTCGTTGGTGTATTTGTTTGCTTTCCCTTGCAATACGTTGCAACAGGAAGCCAAAACTTACTGTGAGGGAACACAAAATTCCACCTTTGCAGGCTGCATAGAAAAGGCTCACAATAATATGACATATAAATCAACAGTTCCAGGATTGAACCTTTGTATTAACAAGAAAGACGGCTCGTGGCTGCATACCACACATGCATGGTGCAAATAAAAGAAGTAAAACCTGCTTTACATGCATAAAGCTGCCTATAAACAACATTTGTTTTTAGTGACTAAGTACTGTGTAAACTATGCAACAGGTATAAACTCTATTTTTAGATTTTTTTCCCCATAAAAGATAACATAAGACTAAACACAACAGAAGCTGTGAACAAATTTCTTCATATTATTCTCGTTGCTATAGAATTCAAATTGCTTTAATTTGGTTTCAAGTCACATCATACTGGCACTGCTCCTGGTATGATAAAGCATGAAAGCCTTTGTACTTGGTTTGTTTTGTATCTTCTTACAATCAGACCAAGAGTCCAATGTCATAATAAAGCGTATTGAACAACGACAAATTTCAGCATTTCATGGGGATGTAGCCAAATGACTGTGTGGGGTTCACACGTTAGAAACTAAAAATGTGTGAGATTATATCTTGCACTCCTTTGCATATGAAAGTTTTCGGTGGTGAATCAAAGCGAAGTCTAACACGTGGCCTCTTGCGATCCGAGAAGACACGGCACAATGACGAGAAATAGCGCAGATCGTCTGAGCAGAGAGGACATGCATGATAAACAGGAAATGAAGGGTTAAAACTTGCTACGTCTGGATTTTCCACCAACCACACTGTTGCCGCTTGTAAACAGCATGATCAGTACAGCATGTCCTAAACTGTATTTAGAGTTCATCTTCCAGAGCAACATTAAGGATCAAAGCATCTGTATGCACTGACATTTTTTTTTAAAGCTTTTTTTTTGTGTGTGTGTCACTTGGTCCTGCTGCATACTTTCTTTGTTGAGCCTCTGATGTCTGTGAGCTGAAACAGTTAATGAACCGTGGAGGACGAGTCGGCCTTAAACAAACCAAACATCACATTATCTTCTGCAACATATCAGCCACCACATCTCCTGTATGTTCCACAAAGGTTTTTTTCTTCCTTTCAGTCTTGGAATTTTTTTCTTCTGGCAGGCCCTGACCTACTCTCACAGAGATTAGACAACAATATGATATAAAGGGGCAAAAGACAGCTTAAAGATATGGGAAAGCAGAGTTTGTTTGTTTTTTGCTCAGAGAAAAAAAAAAATTCTGAAGGGGATTTTTGATCAATGAAAGAAAAATGATACAATAATGTTTTTCATAATGCACCATTTTTTTTTTTTTTTTTGGATGTTCTTTTAAAGTACCTTGATGTGCATCTTGGCCCTTTTCAGCAAGCTCAGAGTGGTGTGTCTCGTGCTGTCTGGACCCAAAGGCACCAGCTTCTTCAGCTGCTCCAAGTACAGCCGTAGTTTGGCACGTCTGCAAGCACACAAGCACAGAATGAGTCAGCACACATCCTTCCAGCAGATAGTGAGAAAGCACCTACGCAAACAGGTCTGAGAAGAAGCGCTTATCCACATGTTCCTAAAGGGCAGAAACAAATACTGCTCCTCACACGGCGTGAATTTCACGTCCTGTTCTTGTACTCGAAAACAGTGAGACTGGTGACCGAGTGCTGCGTGATGCTCTGCAGGTTTGGTTTCACTTGTGACTTTGAGCTTGACCGTGAGACTTTTTCAAAGGGTTGAGGATGTACACAGTGTCTGTGGTTACACAAAGCTCGCATAGGCTAATCACCCAGAAAGAAAAAAAAAAACTGACTGTGCTGTATTTCTGCAAAACTTACGGAACTGACTAAAAAATACCAACACGATGAATCTTGTACTGGGCTAAATTTACTCTTGTTGCATTTTTCAATAAATAAACTGTTTGGATCCCATGCAGTGAACTGTAGATAGCAACTCAAACCAACAACATCCAACCAGATATTTAATAAAGTAATCAGCTGAGTCCAGAGGTCAAGAAGATAAATGTAAGTGAGCTATAATACATTTATTGTGATGCAGATATATGTGTCTCTGACTGTAGATCGTATCATCCAGCCACAGTTCATGCATCTTTCTTTATCAACAAGAGCCGTTTTCATTATACACCCACACGTGACACACATTATGCACTACAAACAGGCCCTTACTATGGAGGCCTTTTTCTGTTGTTTGGTGAAATTGTATATTATGTAGCTCTGTGTGATTTGCTGGCTTTAACTTGTGAGGTTTGCATGTGCAAAAAAACACATGCATGCATTAACTATGCTCCACTATACCCAGGGCGCCACAGCACAACACACTGGCCTAAATATAAAAAGACTGTACGTTGGTGCAGTACTGTCCACCACAGCTGTTCCAAACCTTGTGTGCGTCACAAAATGTCAATCCTGCTGTACGCTAGAGAGCTCTTAAACTCGCAGTGTAGAAAAATTCTTACTAAGCAAAATGGCAGCGATAAGAAGCTCCTCATCTGCTCTGGTGACTCCACTGACTGAAATCAAGACACAAACCGTGACCCCAGAAAACCCTGCATCCCTGCCAACACCCTGCAGGCCGACAACCCCTCAATGCTCAAGTAAACAGCGCGCTGGATGGGCCATTTGGATGTTTATCTGAGTTGATAATGAAGACAAGGCAAAGTTAGCCTTTGTGTGGACATGTGGCGACTTTCTACGGTTACTGTATATTATTTAAAAAGGGCTGCTCTCATTCACGACATTTTTATCAGCAGATCCCCTCTCTGTCCTCGGCCCATTCAGATTTGTTCATAAAGGCCTTTCAATCCTCCATTAGTCAAGCTAGTCCATGAACCGTTTCTTTGTTCTGAGCTAGTCTTCCCCCTTTTTCTCCTGTTCCTTTGGCTAACTCCGGCTGAACGGTAAACAAACTCCGACAATGGAAGGTCTCCACTGGCCATCGCTGCGGCCACAATAAACCTAATCAGAGAAATGAAGCTCTCTGGGGCTTGGCTGCAGAGCTGAGCACACGGGAGGCCGCGGCTAGTGCACAAGCATACTCAGCCTTCACACATGCACACACAGCCTTTACCCTGTTTCTTTTCTCAGGAAGGGCGTCACCTGTATTTTTCACATAAAGTAGGACCCTCTCAGTAGCCCCGTCTGTTTCATTCAGAGGTCGACCACAGGCAGCCTGTCTGAGTCTCAGTGACTAAACAGAAAACCCCCCAGATTCCTAAATGATAAAGCCATCTTTAATTTTGATGGATTTGACTGCAGTCAGAAAAAATGCAGAGGATTTGCAGATATATATGAGGCAGTTTAGCACAAATGCCCTTTAAACAAGCTCCCTCCTCTCTACAGGTGCATATAGGTGTTCCACCACAAAGGGCGTGTGAAAGTGCTCTCGCTCTTTTATCTCCTCCTCTCCCAGGGGGCAATTCTGCCTGCCTGCCTCCCCCCCCACCACCACCATCCGCTGAACCCCCTCAACCCCCTGCTCCACCCTGCCAACACCAACACACCCTCATCCCACTGGAAAACAAGTGTCTTCTGAGGACAGGGGCGGGGGGCCACCTCCGACCTGCCCCAGCCCCAGCCACATGAAGCACTTGGTCTGCAGCCAGGGGGGAAGCGGGCAGGAAGGAGCGGGGGGTCTGGAGCAGAGAGACAGGGGGAGAGGGAGAGAGAGAGAGAGGGGGGTGTTTTTTTGGAAGGGAGTGGGGTCCGAGCAAGTGGATGACTTTCTCTCGGGGTTGAAAAAAGGGCTCTTTGAGTGCAGTGTGCTCAGCTGCACTAGGCAGGGCTCCACACACATCATCCAAAGGGTAACTTGAGCCAATGGGCAACCATCTTGCACCCCACCCCACCCCCATTCCTCTCTTGTAACAAAAAACAAAAACAAGGCGTTTCCCCCCCTCTGTACACTCGGCCTGACTACCCACCTCCTCCCCCCTTGTCCACACCTCTCCAGAAAAGAGTTTTTACTCTATTTTTTTCCATCTCAGGCCCCACATGTGTGCTCACCACATATTTTACCTGGCAAGTCCAGGACAGAAATGTGCTCCGGTGCACTTTTAACCATTGCTTTTACTAACGTCTAAAAAAAAAAACACACAAGCAAATGTTTGCGTTTCTTTGTATTCAAGCCTTCAGAAATGCCACTTCTTTTCATTACACCCTAAATCAAAAGCAGACAACTTGCCACTCCACACCCATGGTGACGTGGAGGCTGACCATACCTGTTTGGGAGAAGCTTTCTGTGAAATGAAACTATCATGGAATACGCCATTCTGAACAAGTCAGGTATCTGAACACTCAGGAGATTACACAAGACACGAGACTAACATGCCGTACAGTGTTATTAAATTTAATACAGAGGTATTACAGTTAGCTTTTAAAGGGAGAAAAACAGCTTGGTATTGTTCAGGAAGTGGAAAACGCCACCTATCTTGATCTGTTCAAAGTGGTGAGCACAAATCATTTACATGAACTGATTTACAAAACAAAGAGTCGAACGAAACGAGCAGATTGACATTTGGGAAAATGAAAAAATGCATTGTTTTCTTGCCAATAGTTAGATGAGAAGACTGAAGCAGCTCTGATGTCTGAGCAGTACAAAAGGAGCTAAAAGCAGCAGACAGTTAGCTTTGGCGTAGCATAAAGACAGAAAACTGGGGGGAAACAGCTTGGTTGCAATATCACAGTGACAACAGGACTCGAGGAAGTCACTGCACTCAGCCAAGAAAAAGTCTGGCACAAAACTCCCTGTAAAATGTTTTTGTCGAAGGAAAGCTACACGTTTCTGATGCGTATCAATAAAAGTGGACCTACAGTCAACCTGGCAGTGTGTCCCTGACAGCTCCCTCACTGCAGCATGTGTTTCCCTGCCACGAGACACGCTCGCTACTTTTCTTCAAGAGCACACAGCCGATTTGGAGCGGAGTTAGGACCCTCCCTCACTCACGTTTGTTATTCCTAAGCCAAGCCCTAGTCACGCAATGTTTATCAGATTGCCTGAAACAGCTATGCGAAGTGTGGCACCAGACGAACATGGATGTTGTGTCCGTGACAGAGAGCAGACAGTTCACACCGCCTGGCACACATGGTTCTGAATCACATCAAATTTTCCAATTTGTCTGGTTTGAAAATAGGATGGTCTTTGATATTCCAGTCATGAACAGCGTCACAGTGTGAGACCATTGGTGCGGTGTCACATGATTTGTAGTTGGGGCAGAGCACTAGCTTGATCAAACACTGTGCAGAAGTCAGGGTTGAATTTGCACGACGGACACAATGCGCCCGGGATAACGTCTGCGTTATGCTGCAACAGCAGCGTTAAACACGGGAAAGATGCTAATTAATATTGCTAAAGCTGCAAAAACAGACTGCCCTGTAAGTTCTCTGCAGATGAGGATTAAACAGTGAATCTGCGACTTGATTTGCCCAGGAGTCATGCCTGCAGAGAAATCACCACCTGACTCTTCTCACGTGCTGAGTACCACGGGATGATTTGTGTCTGATCTCTGCCCTTCCCTCCCCCTCCTCTTTTCTCTCCATCAGGGGCTCAGTGCCAAAACAAAGCAAAGTCAGAGGGGGGGGAAACTTTTGCTCAGAAAGCTGCTGAAACTGGAACAAGCTATTTAAACTGCTGACTTATGCTCCAAGGCTGCTGGGTACAGATCACGCCTTTTCTCACAGACCTGCTCGCACTTTGGGCCTTGGAAGGAGAACAACTGTAGAAATATCTCATTATGTTGCTCAGGTGTTTCTGCAGCAGCCTGCATAAGTCTGACTGACAAAATTATATTCTGCACCATCGAAAAAGTGTCCTGGTGGCCGCAGTGTGTCCCAGGACGGCTCCACCGGCACACAAAGAACTGCAGGGCCTGAGAAGGCGAGCTAGTGCAAACAACAGGCCTTCACCCCTCACTCGCTGTACTGTTTAATGAGCTCACTGCAGCCCAGCGCATTCCTCAACCCATATGCACAGGACCGAGTGGCTTGTCTGGCACGGAGCCAAACCTGCTCAACAAAAGGTCAAAGGTCATCAGAAACACCACTGCAGTGTTTCCCCTCACTGCCAGAGCTGCCTCGGTATGCTCCCTGTTGGGTTTTGAGGAGAGAAAATGCGACCCCATGCCTCTGGTGTTGTTCTGACTTGAGCGTCGTTCGGGCTGCGCTGCCGGATCTGCTCAGCTTTAGGCACGATAACGCAATAATATAATCTGAAAATGCAACATTTCAAACTGGAGGGTTTTATTGTTTGACGTCTCTAAAATAAAGAGGATCAAAACTGTGTTCTTAAGGGCTTAAGGGATAATTCCAGGTCATTACAGTATAGATCTCGTTTTTAGAGTTTTGGCCACCATTCTTAGCAGTAATAACACTGCACTCATCAGGTAAATTACTGAGATCTGGAAAGATGGCAGTTAAAAAAAAAAAAAAAGGTCTGACTCACTGTATTTGCCATCGT